AGCCAAGGGCTTCACCCAGCAGCGGTACCGCGACTTCGACCTAATCTTCTCCCCCACATCCAAACCTCCCACCATTCGAACGCTCATGGATGTTGCAGCTCGAGAAGACTTTGAGATCAAATCCATGGATGCCTCCTCCGCTTTCCTACAAGGACGTCTCAAGGAGACAGTGTTCATGAACAGACCAGAAGGCTTCCCAGGAGAATTCCCTCCCAACACTGTCTGGAAGCTGAATCGCCCCGTCTACGGCCTTAAACAAGCCCCTCGCGAATGGCACAACAAGGTGAAAGAAGTCCTCCTCTCCCTGGACTTCCACCCCTCAACTGCTGACCCGACTCTCTTCATCCGTCGTCATTCTGAGCCATTCTACATCCTAGTCTACGTGGATGATTTTATCCTCGTTGCCAAGGACTCGGCCCAAATGACCTCAGTCCAGGCAGCCCTGAGCAAGGCCCTCCAGATGAAAGACCTTGGTGACCTCAAGCACTACCTAGGAATGGAGATCACTCGTGATCGCAAGGCTCGCACCATCTCACTCTCCCAGGAGTTCTACATCGACAATGTGCTCAAGCGGTTTGAGATGGAGCTGTGCATACCTGTTGCCACCCCGCTGCCGCTGCAACACCTCCTTACAGCTCCTGCTGTACCCACACCAGAGGCCTGCTATGAGCCATACCCGGAACTTGTTGGGTCCCTCATGTACGCCATGATGTGCACTCGACCGGACTTGGCCTACCCAGTCAGTGTTCTCTCTCGTTACGTGGCCCCGGGTCGCTTCACTAATCTTCATTGGAAGGCAGCAAAGCGGGTGCTGCGCTATCTTAAGGGCACAAAGTCCCACGTTCTCACACTCGGTGGGCTCTCCCCTCCTCGCCTGGAAGGTTACACAGACTCCTCCTGGGCTGATGACCAGACCGACCGGCGCTCCTCTCAGGGGTACTGCTTCACCCTCGGGAGCGGAACTGTCAGTTGGCGCTCCACCAGGTCGTCTGCAGTCTCCCTCTCCTCCTGTGAGGCGGAGCTCTACGCAGGCACCATGGCTGCTCAGGAGGCCCGTTGGCTCACTTTCCTACTCCAGGAGCTTGGCTTCCCTCAGTCAGCCCCCACCCTCTGGTGTGACAACCAGAGTACCATCCACATCTCTCAAGACCCTGTGTATCACACCCGCACCAAGCATATTGAACTTCGGCACTTCTTCATTCGTCACCTTGTGCAACAAGAGCAGCTGAAGGTGGAATACGTGGCATCTGACTGCAACCTGGCTGACCTGTTCACCAAGCCCCTTGGGAAGGTTCCCCACCATCGTCTCCTTGGCGCCATGGGGCTCTGCGCTCCTCCTTCTCCGCCATGCGTTCGATTGACGCCTCAGGGGGGGTGTTGGTGTTAGGCCCCAATCTCACATTTTGTACTTGTACTTTTATATCCTAGTTTAGTGTAGTTTGCACTTTGTGTTTGGTTGGGTGTACACCCACATCCCAACCAAACCCAAATGTAATCTCCAAGCAATCTCCAACCCACCAATTGGAGATTGCCTTGGGATTACCCTTGATTCCCTAGGATTGCCTCCTGATTCCCTCCTCATCCCTACCTTGCTCATTCCGGATGTACTTAAAGAGCTTTGAGCTCACTACTATAGTATCGATTCTAAGCTCAAGTTCTGACATGGTAATCAGAGCAGCTCAACCGCATACGCGGATCGTGATCCTCTCATCTCTGCGGATACTTGTCCCGCAAACCTCGGGGAAGCCATCGCCAATTTCGTCGCCGTTGATTCGCGACATTCATCGGCGGAATTTCTCCCGCCAAACCTTCCCGTCACCATCGACGGAAACTTCTCTGGTAAGCGCATCGTCGGCGCTCTAACCTAACACTCGTTTTCATCAATTCGTCACTTCTTCTCCTCGACGGGCTGCCGCCCGTCGCCCTGCAGCTTCTCGTCGGGCCGCCGCCCGTCGCCCCGCAGCGTCATCTTCGGGCTGCCGCCCGTCGCCCCGCATCTGCACTCCTACCCCCATCCCCCCTCTTTCCCGCAGCTGAACAGGTGCAGCAACGCAGCCGAGCAGCAGCGTAGCCGCGAAGCCGAGCAGCCGTGTAGCCGCGAAGCCGAGCAGCAGCGTAGCCGCGAAGCTGAGGGTGGTGTGTGGGGGGGTGTGTGGGAATAGGACTAGTAGGTAGTTGACACTAAATTGGCGTCTCAGTCAAATTCTCCTTCGTAAACCCTAAACCTCCGGTTCTTCAAAATCTCCTTTGGAAACCCCAAACCTCAAGTTCCTATTGGTGACTTAAGAGCGGCGCTCCGCGCGAGAAGTTAAGGGGTCTCCACCATGGCTTTCTCGTCTTCCACCATGGCGAACCCCATCACCCCGCTCCGCCTTGAAGCCGATGGCTCTAGCTCCAACTTCAAGGCGTGGAGCTACGGAGTTGACAAGCACCTCCTGAGCCGTGACGTGCAGGGCCTTGACCTCAAGGACGTCCTCCTCAACCGTGGCAAGGGGAAACAGCCCACTCTTCCCCGTGAACCGACCGAATCTTCAAGTGATGCTGACGTGATGACGTACGAAGAAGCTGTTGAGAAGTACCGGAAGTGGGAGAAGGCCGATGCTGCCATCATCAGCGTCTTCATTGCCTCCACCCCTCCCGAACTTGTCAACACGTTCCACAACTACCCTACCTCCAACGCCATCTGGAAGTATCTCCAGGATCGGTTCATGAACAAGACGGCGGTCGGAGTGGCGATTCTCATCCCCAGCATGTTTCAAGTCCGCCTTGAGGACTGCTCAGGAATGGCTGACTACATCGCCAAGGTGCAGACCATTCATGGTGAACTCAAGGAGCTGGGTATAGTCTTCCCCGAACAAGCCCCTGCAGCCGCCCTTCTTGTTGGTCTCTCCTCGGCATATGAAGTCACGAGGAAGATGCTCCTCACGCTCTCAGCGGAAGACCTCACCTTTGCTAAGGTCTCCACCGCACTCCTCTCTGCCGAGAAAGACTCCACTGCTCAGGCCAAGGCACACGCCATCCGTGCTCCCATGCCCCTAGCAAGTGTTGCAGCGGCCCTTGCCTCGGCGCCTTTCCAGCGCAACCGCTTTCCTCCGTGCACCTACGTCGTCAAGTATGGCAACCGCAAGGGACAAGTGTGTGGTGGCACTAACCACCCCCTTGCCACGTGCTTCAAGAAGAAAGACGACGAGTGGTATGCCATCCACGGGGTTGACAAGAAGCCGCCAAACTGGATGCGCGCTCGTAAGGCCAACCTCGTTGAGGTCCAGGACCCCTCTTCGGCTAGTGCTAGTGACAGTGCTCCTGTTGATGTGCGTATCAACCTGTTGTTTCCTGGCACTGCCATGATTAATGAAGCCACTTCCCAGTACATCGACTCATCACAGGCACCACAGTACATAGAGTTCACACTCGACAGTGGGGCCACTCACACTGTGCTCAAGGAGACACTCTCCTTCAAACCCTATCCAGCACCTATCCCTCTCTTGGGAGCTGACTCCAGCTTCACCACCCTAGCCAAGGGCACCTCCACAGTCCCATGCCCAGCCTTCCCTTCCGGCACCGTCACTGGCATGTGCGTGCCTTCACTACGCCACAATCTAGTGGCTCAAACAGAAATTCAGAAAGCAGGGCTACGCACCATCTTCTCGGAGAATGAGGACCACTGCGACATCATTGACCCACTCACCAACAAGGTCTTGGCCCGCTTCACCCTCAATAGCAGCGGCCTCTACACGCTACGCGTTCCTCTCCCACAGGTTTCAACCACCCAAGCACAGGCTCCCATCACACCATGCACATGTCGCAGCCTCTCCAACCCGACCATCCTCTATCATCATCGGTTAGGGCACCCAAACTTCCGCACGCTTGCTGACATGGCCTCCAAGAAACTTCTTCTCGGCCTGCCAGCCACACTTCCTCCACCATCTGACTCACCCGCTCCCACGTGCCTTGATTGCACCAAGAGCAAACTGCGCCAACAGCCCCACACTGCCTCACCCACAATCGCAGCGGCACCACTGGACCTAGTGCACATGGACGTCTGGGGCCCTGCCCCTGTTCTTGCACGAGGTGGATATCGCTACTTCCTAGTTATCGTGGATGACCACTCACGATACGTCTCTGTTCACCTCCTCCACACTAAGGCTGAGGCTCCAGAGGTCATCATGGCGTGGGTCAAGCAGGCACAGACCACCTTTGACCGCAAGGTCAAGCGCCTTCACTCGGATGGGGGGGGTGAATTTTGCAACGACAAGCTTAAAGCCTTCTGCTCCTCCGAAGGCATCCAGCAAAACTTCACCCTCCCTGACAGCCCTCAACAGAACGGCATAGCTGAGAGCCGCAACCACACTCTAGTGCAGATCACTCGGTGCCTCCTCAGCCACTCCAACGCTCCACACTCTCTCTGGGGATACGCTCTCTACCACGCCGCCCTCCTCTACAACCTTTACCCCCATCCGCACCTTCCCGATACCACTCCAACCACACTCTGGCTCGGGAAAACGCCCACTGCTCGCTCTCTTCGCGTTTGGGGATGCACCGCCTATGTCCCTTGTGGTAACTGAGCTGAAAATCAACCCTACATGTGCAAAGTTTGACCCGCCCTAAAAGCAAGAGGTTGAGCTTGAAATGAGCTAGATTTGTGAAACCCTAGATTGGAAACCAGCGCGGCCAATGTTTGCGTAGGGTAATTTTGAACTCGAACATGTTCGAATCGAACCTTTTTGGCAAAAAAAAAAGAGCCATGTTCGGTTCGACTCGAACGAACAGGTGTTCGTGAATACGCTCATGTCTAGTCTGCCCTCCCAATCCAACTCTGCATGGAGTGGCAAGGCATGGGGTGACGACCAGCATGGGGTGATGACAATGCATGGGGTGGCGAGGCATGGGGTGGCGAGGCATGGGATGATCAGGCATGGGAAAAAATCAAGAGGTGAGAGTGGATTGATTGTGGTGGTTCAGTCACCTCCTGCTCGCGACGGTAGAAGAGTGAAAAACCTATGTCAGTTTCTCGCACTTGCTGCCATGGCACGTACAGGATATCAGTGGCGGTGACGCGAGCACAGGGGTTCACCATCCAGCCTCACTACGACATCTACTACACGCTCGACGACAACCCGCGCTACTGGTCGCTGCCCAACCCACCCGTGGGCTATCAGGCCGCCATGTCAGCAGTGGACACGCTTGGCTTCGTCACCAACCTCTGCGCCGTCTACTTTGCCCTTCAGGGCATCAAGTCAGTCTCGCTTCGCTCCCATGCCCCTGCCTCCATCGCGATACCACTTGCGACCAGCCACATGTCTTGAAGCTCTTGAACTTACCACCTTGCTCCCCCATCCCCTTTTTACCGCTTTCCCCTCTCTTCTCTCTCCCTTCTTTCCCCTCTCCTCATCTGCCCCCTCCCCCCTTTCCCCTCTCCTCATCTGCCCCCTCCCCCCTTTCCCCTCTCCTACCTGCTCATTCCCCGTTCCTTTCCCCTCTCCCCTGCTCTCCCCTATCTCCCCTTTCTTCCCTCTCCGGTCCCCTTCTCCCCTCTCCCCCCACTCTACCGCCTCCCCCCCTTCTCCTGCCTCTCCACCTCCACCCTCTCCCCTCTTTCCCCCATCTCCCTCCTCTCCCCTCTCCAACCCGTTCCCCATCTCCCCACGCTTCCCTCTTTCCTCTATTCTCTCACTCCCCTGTCCCCTAACTTCCATGCTGCCCCCGTGTTTCTCTAGAACGGTGTTATCTGTAGCCCGCATCACAGCACGAGCACAAAAGGCTTCTCCCCCGCCACATGTTTCATATCGGTCGTCGTGCTTGCCTTGCCCCATGGTGCGTGCCACCATCTGACCCCGCCAGTGTGTTCATCATGGTGCTGCGCCTCTTGAAGCTGATGGACTTTCAGCCCAACATGGGCATCATGACTCGCTCCCTCCGAGTCGCCATGCCGTCTCTCCTCCACTTCTTCATTCTCTTCTTCGTTGTCTTCGTGGCATACGCCACCTACGGCTACCTGGTGTTCGGGATGACCTTAGTACAGGTGCGTGCCACTTGCGTGCCTCTCCCGTGTTGTTGTTCTCCCTAAACAACGTCACACCCAATTAGTGAAGGCTCAGAGCGAACCGAACCAGGACCGGTTCGTTGGACCAATCATGGTCGGGTCAAGTACCGGCAGGGTCACAACCCGTTTCGACCCAAACTGGCTCTGGTTCGCGTTGAACCACGATTGGGACGAAGGTACGATGTGTGCTAAGTTGGCATTGTATTGAAAACATAATACTATCATGGCCCTTGGCATAGAGGGGCGACCTAGACAGTGATGGAGAATGGATGGGCTACAGGGCGACAGTGAGAGTCAGAGCGGGTGTTGGATTATGGGGGGGACAGGAGAGATGAGGGAAGGCGAGGAGAGGAACGGCAGGGGGTTAGTGGACGTGCATGCCGGCACGTGCTAAGACCCAGAAGCAGGAGGGATGGGTAGGGGGCACAGTGGATCGCATGCAAAGAGAAGAGGCAACAAGTAGTGAACGGAAACATGCCACACAGAGAGGAAGGGGCGAGATCAGCACTTGTAGCCCCAGTTTGCTGAGCAGCATGCTCGGAAAGGATGTTTAGTTGCACCTCAAATTTACGTTCCGAGTCTGCCTATGATTTCTTCAGAGTGTTCTGCGTTGCAGGGTTGCTTTGGAGGTACTGAACGCTCAGCTATGTGTGTGCGTGCTTTCTTCGTTGCCCCCTTTTTCCCCAAGTGCAGTTCAGCACGCTGTGGCTGTCCCTGCAGACCTGCTTCTACATGATCGTAGGGCAGTTCGGAGTGTTCTGGTTCCAGCAGATGGTGGGGTGGCAGTACGCGGCGGCCATGGTGTTCTGGTTCTCCTTCGTCATCATCTTCTGCTTCATCCTCTTCAACTTCCTCATCGCCATCATCGTGGATGCCTTCATGGCCGTCAAGGTCAGTCAACAAAGGTCAACAGCAGTCAAGGTGAGTCAATGCTGGTCAACAGCAGTCAAGGTGAGTCAATGCAGGTCAGCAGCAGTCATGGCGGGTCAACGCAGGTCAACAGCGGTCATGGCAGGTCAACGCAGGTCAACAGCAGTCATGGCGGGAAAGCACAGGTCAACAGGGTGAAACAAGTCAATGACGATGAATGTGAGTCAGCAGTATGGTGTTGTGGTTCTCCTTTGTCACCTTATCCTTTGCGCTCTTTACCTTCCTCTTAGTTATCATCCGCTCCTTTCACACTTCGTTTTGTTCTCAGCATCACATATGGTTGGAGTGTGTTGTGACTCCTTGGCGCTCTGTATTTTCACCCTCCCTCCCTCCCGCTTGCACTTTTCTACTGACCCACGTGCACGGGTTGGCAGGAGTCGACGGAGAAAGCACCGGCAATCTACCAGGATATGTACTTGATTGTGGTGCGCTTCGTCCGCCGCGTGGCATCGCCGTACACAAGGTACAGCCGCCTGCTGCGCCACCTCATTCGCCTCGGAGCAGAGAACACCGCCAATGCGGTCATGGAGGTGAGCGGCCCGGCCAGGGAGGTGAGCGGGCAGGGAGGTGAGCCGGCAGGGAGGTGAGGGGGCAGGGAGGTGAGCGGGCAGGGAGGTGAGCGGGCAGGGAGGTGAGCAGGAATGTGCGCAAAGATGGGGATGCGATTGAGAGGGGAGTGTAGGAGAGTGATTTTTTAGCTCTTACTATTTCCATCCATAAATAGGGATGTGCATGACCTGCACGATGATCCGCACGATGATCCGCATGACCTGCCAGAGCGCTTTTTGAACTCTGACTTCCAATTTCCAACCACATGGGTCCCCGCTCTCTCGTGCGGGTTCCCACCAAACCAGTGCGGTCTAATCTCCTTAATAATCCTGCTTCGAGACAATGTGGCAATGAAGGATGACTGGTTCAAGTCAAACTCGGGCAAAAAATCCTTAGGATGTCCTAGATTATATTTTTTTTCTTCTTCACATCGAGACCACAATTTGCTTACCAAAGCTCCTACACATCCTGAGCGGCGTCTGTGTCTCCCACTGCCACCTTCATTCGTGTCCCACTGCCACCTTCATTTGTGTCCCATTGTCCGCCACTCCGCAGAAGAGCCTTCAACAGTCCGGCCAGCAGTGCTTTGCGTCGAGCCTTCAGTGCGGCAAGGAGATGAGAGGCAGCAAGCGTGATACTGATGGGGGCAGGCTGGAGGATGCTGTTCGTGATGGCAATCCGGGGATAAATGGGGTGGAGGTGGTGGGAAGAGAGGGAAAAATGGATCCTTTTGAGGCGCAGCAACAAGTGTCAGCGATGGTGGGAGCAGATGAGACTAACTTAAGCCGGGCTGAGAGCAAGAAGGGGGTATTGCCGAATGGTGGGGTCGCCAAGTCCCAGGCAGCCGGCAGCACCAACACTCAGGTGGACGCCCATGCTTCCACCACCCCTGCTGCTAATCCTGGCAGCACCGCTGCAGGTGATGCTGGCAGCACGGGTGGCAGCATGGTGGAGCCGGCAGTGCAGAGGCGGCGGAGCTTCTGGCGGCTGAAAACGCTGGATGATTGGGAGACTGTGGTGGTGGTGGGGGAGAGGCAGCTCAACGCCCACTCGCTCTCTTCCATCCTGCGCCGCGCACACGCCCGCATGGTGAGACGGGGGGCACTGCATGCATCACATGGGGGTGCATTATGGATGGGATGGGGCATAACATGCATGTCAAGGGATTTAATGGCGCATGGCATGTACGCCTGGTAAATATGCTCATATTATGCAGTCATCTGTCCTGAATGCTCCACATGCAAGCACCATCCCATCCGCCCTTGAGCCTCCAATCAGTCTGTCCTTGCCACTACCAGCACTCCACACACCTGTCCGCACACATCAAGGTGCTGTTGTGGGAGATGGGGGATTGCCTCTCAGACTCCTTGCCTTTCTCTCCCATGTCATGCCATCCCATCCGCCCCTGCAGCGGCGCTCTCTCTCCGACGAGCAGGAGGGGGACCCCATGGACGTGGCAGCGCTGGGGGCGGTGCTGCTGTCGGAGCTGGGGGAGAGCGCGCCGCCTGCCGACGCCACGGCTGCAAATGGAGGCGAGGCGGCAAAGGAGGGCGACCTGCTGGCCATGCAGCAGCACGTGGAGGCGCTGCGGGCCGACGTGGCCCGTGGCTTCGACCAAGTGAGGCAGCAGCTCACCACCCAAGTCCAGAGCTCCCATTGCAACCAGTTGCCACAGGAAGCCAGTCCGAGCCTGCTCCCGAACCCGCTAGGCAATGGTTCGGAGGAGGCTGGGCGAGAGGTGTGGCAGCAGGTTTTGATGCAGGTGGAGAAGATTCGGAAGGAGGCTCAGAAGGAGCGAGAAGAGGGTATGGAGATCCTGCAGGAGCTCAGAAGAGAGTTGCAAATGCTGAGGGCAGCGAGAGGAGAAGGGAGAGAGAGGGGAGGAGAGGAAGAGAAAAGGGATGGGAGTGGGGGAGGGGCATGAGAGAAGAGCATTGAGTGCAGGGTCAGAGTATAGTGAATGAAGCGAGTGCTGTTGCATTGTGAGCTGTGATGCTGTGTATGAGGCTAAAGCTCCGTGGTGCTTGGCACTGCCAGCTGAGGAGTTGTAAGAACGAATTTTCTACCAGCTGAGGATTTGTAAGAACGTATATTCCCACACTTCACATGGACGCAGCATGTGCTGCTGCGTAGTGTGAAGTGGTCACGACCTGGTTCAGTCGCCAGTGTGGTTCAACATGCTGTGAAAGCCTGAGGGCGGTTCATTACATAAATGCAGTAAGTTAATGAACAGTATTTACAAAATTGGTCCCAATGGAGCAAGTACTCTAGTATTTGAGCCATGTTGATGTTATTCTCTTGGCTGTGCTGGTTGTTTCTTTGTTCATATGAACTACAAGCCGAGGGTGTGCGTCCTTTATAGTAATAGATGCTAGGAAAATGTTGGAATTAAGGTTAATTTGGATTGCTCCAATAAACATATGTAGTGCTAGATCCACACAATAGTAGTGTGAAAAAGATCGATTGGGTTGTGTAAGGAAAATTCCTTTTCCTTACTTCGCATCCCTGCTCAATGCGTACATCGCTGTAGCACCACAGTCAGCACCGTTACCACTCGCAACCCTCCCATCGACAATCCGCCCGCCACCTTCGCACATCGCACCCCGACCTCACGGCTCGGCGGGTAACCCGCGCTCCGGGCCTCCGCTTCGACACTTTTTCCCAACCTCAGTCCCAGGCCCGTCGCGCGACAACCACAGTCCATTACCGTTACCACTGTAGTTTCGCCATATATTCTTTGCTCATGCCTTCCCTCATTGTACGAGGAGGAGGTGTAAGACCAAGAACCTGCTGCAGGAGCGGAACGAAGTACGGTCGGGGCCGCGCGGCGACGCTAGAAACAGCAGGAACAGCACCAGTAGCCCCGGCAGGAGCACCCACTCCAGCAGCACCTCCAGCAGCACCACCAGAAGCTCCAGAACCCCCAGCCGCAGCACCAGGAGCACTGTCAGTCGGACCGCCAACGGCAGGCTCAGCGCCAACACCCTCAGCAGGACCAGCTCCAGGAGAACTCTCAGACCCAGCAGCTCCAGCACCCACAGTACGAGTACCGGCGGGACGCGCGGCAGCAGTACCCTCTGCAGTCGAAGAACCACCCGCACCAGCAGCACGCCTCCAGCGCCTGGCAAACCACTCACGCAGCTCCTGTGGGGAGAGTGGCTCCCGGCGAGACGAAGCACCCCCAGGCACAGCACCTCCAGGCTCAGAACCCCTAGACACAGCACCCCCAGGCACAGCACCCCCAGGCTCAGCAACCTCAGGCACAGCACCCCCAGGCGTAGCACCTCCAGGCTCAGCACCCCCAGGCACAGCACCCCCAGACTCGGCACCTCCAGGCTCAGCACCCCCAGGCACAGCACCCCCAGGCTCAGCACCCCCAGGCCCAGCACCCCCAGACTCGGCACCTCCAGGCTCAGCACCCCCAGACTCCGCACCCCCAGGCTCAGCTCCCGCAGCAGCACCAGAGTCACCAGTGACCTCGACAGGCTCGACCGCGTCTACGTGGGACACACCTGAAGGGGCAGGACCCTGAGGGGGGAGGGGGACTACCGGGGGGGGACCTGGTACCAAGAAGAGCGGGGGTGGGGGGAGGGACGGAGTGCGGTAGGGGAAGAGGCGGTAGTAGGGTACCGACTCGTCGAACGTGACGTCCTGGGAGGACAGAACACGTCGAGAGGTGGGGTGGTAAAACTGCCACCCAGGGGCGTCGGGGGGGAACCCCAGGAAGACGCAAGGAGAAGCACGAGGGGACAGCTTGTCCGCAGACAGGTCGCGAACAAACGCCCGAGATCCCCAGACCCGGAACGCCGACGCATCGCCAACCTTCCCCGTCCACAGCAGGGCTGGGGAGGTCTCCGGTCGAGAGACCCTGGGGTGGAGGTTGATCTGGTGCGCAGCGTAACTGACCGCAAACGGCCACAGAAAATGGGGAGCAGCCGCATGCATCATAGACGTACGAGCGACGTCCATGACCATGCCAATGCGGCGCTCAGCAATCCCATTCTGCTGTGGTGAGTCCGGAAGCGTGAAGGTCTGACGGATGCCTCGCGCACGACAGTAGGCACTCAGGAGGCCAGAGGAGAACTCTCCGCCTCTGTCCGAGTGCAGACGTAAAACAGGGAAGTCAGAGCCAAAGCTCCTCCGAAGCTGGAGACGAGCTGCGCGGATCCAGTCGATCAACACCTCAGTGACCTCACCCTTGCTGCGCAAGGGGAAGACTGTGGTGTAACGCGAGTAGTCGTCAACCACCAGCAGGAAGTAGCGCTCCTGACCCTGTCCACGGACGCGGGCTGGGCCCCACACGTCCATGTGAAGCGTCTGCAACGGGGCCTCTGTCGGAGGAAACTGGGAGGAGTGAGGGGCAGCACGCTGGCGCCCCTCGACACAGGGGACACAGGTGGGGCCAGGGCCCGGAGGAAGGGGAGGGAGAGACCGGGGAAGACCAGACACAAGGACTCGCGAGGCCATGCCTCTGAGCCGAAGCAGAGAGGGGTGGCCAAGGCGGTGGTGCCAGAGGAGGGTCTCGTGAGACAGACGACGACACGAGCAGGGGGCAGACTCAGGACCAGACCTGGACGCTGCAGCAAACACCTGACCAGACGAAGGGACCCTACCAGACTCAGCACCTGGAGGAGAAGCAGTGGTCAGTGTGTACAGGCTCGACCCTGGCCGACGTGTAAACGTAGCCAGGTGGCGACCTGTATCCGCCTCCGTGCAGTGGGTCACCCGCTGACGAGCAGGGGTGAACTGGTGGACACCCACTTCCTGGAGGTCAGCACCACTCACCAAGTTCGTCGAGAACGAGGGGAGGTAGAGACCAGTCAGGGTGCCAGAGGGGGCCGCCGGACACGGGAGGACAGTGGAGAAGCGAGACATGACAGGCCCCCCAGAGGGGTCAGCCAGGGACACCGCAACCGGCCGACTCAGCGGCGTGAGAGTGGTGCGGTCCCTAAAGAAGGAGCGAGACGCTCCAGAGTCAAGGGTGAAGGTGTGAGAGGCCAAAGCCGACACAGTGCCTGAGAGGGCAGACTCACCAGCACCTGAGAGCACAGACGCACTGGCACCTAGAGCAGCAGCCTCACTAGTACCTGACGCGGCAGTACCAATGCCCGGGTCGGGCGGGAAACACCGGTAACAGTCATCCTCATCACTACCAGTCACAGCATACATAGCAGAGAGAATAGCATCAAAATCAAGATCATAAATAGCTACACCAGCCCTAGACAGCTCTCCCCAGCGGGGGATCTCAGCGGCCTCCGGAAACTGCTGACGCCAGGCGTCGGTCAGGCGGCCAAAGCAGCGGCGGGCTGTGTGGGCGCCTCCACACCTCTCCCCTGCACGGTCACCTGTGCGAAGAACGTAGGGGCAGGGACCAAGCGCACCACCACGCTGACGCTGCAAGTACCACTCACGGAGCTGCTGAGGGCCGGGGACGGTGCGAGAGCGCTGCTGCTGCTGTGGCTGCTGCTGCGGCTGCTGCTGCTGCTGCTGCTGGCGCTGACCACCCCCAGAGCTGCTCCGCTGGGACGAGCCACTCCGACCCCCGCCTCCACCGCCACCCCCGCCTCCACCGCCACCCCCGTCTCCACCGCCACCTCCCCCACCAGGACCGTCGCTCCCACTGCTCCCACCGCCTCCTCCGCTACCACCTCCGCCGCCACCTCCGCCTCCACCGCCGCCACCAGTACCTCCACTCCCGCCACCACCCCCACCGCCACCCCCACTCCCCCCGCCACCCCCACCGCCTCCTCCACCGCCCCCTCTAGCTCCACCCGCTCCCTTGCCCCCTTTGCCCTTGCCAGAGCGGCGTCTGCCGCTGGGGGCAGACGCCGCGCCGACCGACTCAAAACCAGTGAGGTCGGCCGCAGCGGCAGAGGCGACAGAGGGCAGCAGGGGGGAAGGACCACACCCCTCAAAGATGGGGGTGCGAGGGTCACCCCGAGAGGCCCCTACAGCGACAATACTCTTCTCAGCCGCTAGCAGGGACTCCTCAAGGAGATCGACAGTGAGAGTGGTGGGACAGACAGAGAGAAACTGGTCCCTAACGGCACGAAGGGACTCAGGGAGACGGGTGACGAGAAAGTAGAGAGTGATGTACATGGGAGGAGGGTTCGCAGCGCGGAACTCAGCAGAAAGGGCAGCGCGGTAGCGGGTGTCACTAGCACGGAGGTGGGTAACGAGGTCAGCAACAGTGGGAAAGGAGGCGAGGTCAGGGAAGAGAAACGGTAGCATGAGGCGGCTAAGGGTAGCGGAGGAAGGGGAGGAGTAGCGTGCAACTACAGCGTCGTACAAGGCCTGAGCGGTCTTGCACTGACTAAAGTGGGCACGCTCAGAGGAAGGGAGGTGGCGACGCACAGCAAGACGTGCAGCAGCATCGCGGGTCGCCCACTTGGAGCGAACGGCAGAGTCAGCATCAGCAGGTGGGGCAGGGACAGCGCCAGAGACAAAGTCAAAGAGAGAGACCTCATCTATCGCATCACATAGTAAGTACAGCTGCAGGTCTTCAATCCAGACGGCAAAGTCAATGGCCCTCCCCTCAGCGTCAAAAGTAAGGACATTGGGGGTGGCCATGGCAGCAGCTGAAAATCTCACCGGGCTGGGAGAGTCGGGTAGTGCAGCAGCAGAGGAACACAGCTCAGGAACAGCGGCACGGCTCGGGCGGCTCGGGTTGCTGGGGCGGCGCGGGCGGCTCGGGCGGCTCGGGCGGCTCGGGCGGCTCGGGCGGCTCGGGCGGCTGGGGCGGCTCGGGCGGCTCGCGCGGCTCGGGCGGCTCGGGCGGCTCGGGCGGCTCGGGTTGCTGGGGCGGTACGGGCGGCTCGTGCGGCGCTGGTGTCGCGACGGGCGGCTCACTGGCGGCTCGCGGGCGGCTGCACAGGCGGCTCAGGGACGGCGGCGCGGGCGGCTCAGGGAGCTCACGGGCGGCTGCGACGGGCGGCTCGCGGGCGTCGGGCGCTAGGGCGTTGGGGCGACGGCGGGCGGCGCTCAGGCGTTCGGGCGGGCGGCCGTAAGGGCGAAAGGGCGGTCGGCGCTCGGGCGCTAGGGCGGGCGGCCG